AGATGTGTATAAGAGACAAAATATATATATATGTATGTATATATAGGCCTATATATAGTATTTATATATATATATATAGTATCAATGTATGCATGTGCATAATATGATTCAAGTTGCCTTGAGAAATGCCATGTAAACGACACAGGATGAAGATACAGGTTAAAGTCGTAGACATAATATAAAGCAATATTATTTAATCCACAACTAAAATATTTCTGACACACATGCATTGCGGAGATATTGAACGAAACGATGAAGTATTGTATACAATGGAGAACAAGCAACGCATTATGATATAGAGTTATTATGTATATAATGACAGCAATATATATATATATATGTGTGTATATATATGTATATATATATATTATATATCGTTAGAGTATACGTTAAGTTTGAATATACATTACTAAACTGTATCATAATCCATTATATTTCTTTCGTTCCCTTTGTTCTGTATGTCTGTGCGAACTGATGATACCGCAGGTCGAATTAAGCAGTTAATTACATACAAATCGCCTCCCATGTCGTTTAATAGCATGCGTAATGACAGTACGACCCTACAAGACTGTGTCGACTGGCTGGTCGGAGTGATGACTTATAGAAATTAATAGACAGTAAATTATGCATAACTTTGCCGGGGTCTGTAGTAGTAGCTGGCCTAACATCATTATGGATGACGGGGTATTGTCTGTGATGAAGTAGCTTGTAATGATTATAGGTATAAATTTATTTTAAATTTTATTACAGATAATGAACTTTCTTTTTTATCAAGTGTATAGTGTATGCCATTGTTAATTAAATGTTACAGTTCATTACGCTACGTTAAGATAGAAGTAAAGGAGGTTTAGATAAGCAGCATATAATAAACGACTCCCTAATATATATATATATATATATATATATATATAATTAATATATAATAATGAATTAATTAAATGTTACAGTTCATTACGCTACGTTAAGATAGAAGTGAAGGAGTCAGTCAAGAACAACGTCAACACCGTTAAATTACATATAGGCCTAAATCATCAAAGAAAGATAAATGCAGTGTTCGAAGAAAGGACATGGTGGTACATATGTTACTGATTATTTCCAGCTGTACCTCCAGATTTATTTGGTTTTCACCCTCTCAATTGTGTAATACAATGTATCTGACGGTTATTTGAATCTGATCAACCATGAAGCATCTGTGATCTAATGGTTATGACGTTCGCCCTGACAGGTTCGAATCCCATTGGAGGCATTTTATTACACAATGTATTTATTTATACGTTCGTTAAGAGCTATGCTACACGATGTACCCTCATGTCCTTTATTTGAACACTGTATTTACCTTTTTGATGATTTATATATATAGGCCCCCTATATATATATATATATGTATATATGTATATATATATTTATATATATATATTTATATATAGGCCTATATATAAACACGTTTCACGTTAGTTCATTTAAAACTAGTTCTGCTTCCATACCTACAAAAGAGAGTAAAAAATTGCCTCAAATCATATTTGAAATACGAGGCCCCAGTGACTCTGATTGTTACAGTATGTCGTATATAGAAGAATATACACGAGTTAGAAATCCCGTTAGGTGCGATTATTGTCACTCACGTGGATTTCTAATCCTTGCCGTTTACAATACATATATATGTATAGGCCCTATATAT